ATTAATGTATCTGGATATAAATGTTCAATCCTACAATTAAAAAATATTTTTCTAAAATAACAGATATATATACAAATAACTTTTATAATAATGTTCATGCAATATAAGAACATACAATTCAATGCAAATTACAGCGTTTGCATTCTTCAATTTTACGTCATTGTCTGTTACACTGCCTTCACAAATCTCTATTGTAAGCTTCCTTTCTCGAGAAGACAACAATTCTGTGGTTAACGGTGCTGCTTTTTCTTTGTATCTCTCTAGCACTTCCCTATCCACATCTACACAAAGTATCTGCTCCACTTCAGGTATCCCTTTCAAGTACAACAATAAACCTAGCTCGCCGCAACCATAGTCAACAATCTGTAAAAAAAAATTTTTATATGCATTCATAAATATAAGAGATTATGGGAATTAATATAATTTTATATTTTGAAACAATATGTCAATATATTTAAAATAAACAAGATATTTAAACGTACAATACTCTATCTGGTGATTTTTACACAAAACAGGCGGCTGACAACAAGAACCTACTCAAATATTTCACAATACCAACTCTACACTAATGATTGCGAGTAGTGTTGTTATAATAACACATACGTTAAATTTACATTGTTATAAGCATTCAAGATATCGATACCTTCCACAATTTTCCTTTGTATTCATTGAGCACATTCATCGCCGCACAGTATCTTTGTATGTATGCCGGTGGATAAAAGTTGCCTATTGTCCCGTGTGTCCACCACAACGTATTTTCCAATTCCGAATCGTTGAGTGCATCATAATCGTACCTGAACAATTCCTCTTCATATGCGACATCGGGCAAGAGTCTCGTTTTTCTGACACGATATCTATCGTATATGCACTTGCCCAGCAAATAGAGCACGTGGAAGAGTAGGCCGACCATGTTCGTAAAAATCTTTTGAGACTTTTTCTAACACCGCTCTGCAAACTCATACCGTTCTGTGTACTAAACCGACAAACCAACACAGCGCAGCGATCAAGCGGCTTCAGTATCGGAAGTCGGAAGATTCCGAGACATGCGCAGTGAAGAGAATTGTAGCAGACGCTGATTATTGTTTTAGGATTCAATTGCATATGTGAACGTATCTGTGCGTGTGTATGGTGTGTGAGGGGTGTATTGTAAGTGCTTCTCATGGAGGGACGAGGGGGAGGGAGGGAGAGGAAAACAAAGGAAATAATGGAGGGAAAAATTTTCTATCACATATAGGTATGTGTGTGTGTGTATTGTAATTTATAAAATTAACAACAGTCGATTTTATTAGTTTATTATGTTACCAGCAAACGAGAATGGATTAAAATTTTTTTAATGCGTACTTTAAATCCATGAAAATGGATTAAGTGGATTGAAATGGATTGGATCCGAGCTGACACTAGTTTAATATTTGAAAAGAAAAAAACATTCATATTTAAAGGTTACAAATTTTATTTCTAAGACATTTATAATAATTATACCTAAAATTAACTACTTCAAATTGGTATTAAAAAACGCACCTTAATGAGAAACCTGGCATCTCTGGATTATGAATCTTCTACGTTACATCATTTCTTCAATTGATAAATGTATTATTCATTCTCTACAATTACAACCAGCTAAACTAGTAATGAAATTATATAGATATAATAAAAAAATCATCATTTAAGATATATTTACAGATATAATAAAGTATAAACAATTTACATTACTATGAGATAACATTGGGTAAGTGATAATTTAATCTCGCTTAACCGTTGTCACGTGATTAGCCTAATATTCGAGCTGTATTCGAGCTTGGTTTGCGAGTGTTCAAATTTATCATTTATTTTACTTCTAATCAAAGAGAAACAAAAGAACATAGCTCAATTATTTTTACGTTACAACTTTTAACTTAGTTGGATTAAAATGAAAAATTTTCTACTTATTTTGAATAATTTAAGTAGCATTTATGGTCCATTTTTAAATAAATACTTTTTTTATTTAATTAGATTGAAAAACTGCATTTCACATTCAGAATGTTGAATTGAGCAGTATTCACGATGTACAAAAAATGCTAATATTTTTAGATTGGAAGGCATAGAGATATGCTCTATGCAATTCTTATAAATGAATAAAAATGCATTTGGGATTGGAAAGGATTCATTTTAACATTTATGAATCCGTATTTCTGAAAATATGAATCCGTTTTAATTTATTTCAATCCATTCTCGTGTGCTGGGTTTGCAACCAACAAATAATAAATGTAATACCAAATATTTATTGCAAGGAAAATTACAAAAGATTTTACTATTCCAATAGATATTGTATAAATAATTTATACAATACTGTAAAACGTCGTATAAATCAGGTCATCATCGTATAAATTAGTACATCGTATAAAATAGGTCTTAAACTAATCTTTGTAGACCAAGTTTCATCAATGTATAAGATTAACAATATAATCTTCTCAGACAACAAAAAGTATCTAAAATCAGGCCATAAGGCATTTTTTGCGTCTAAAAGACTACTTAAAAACATCTTATGTCATAATTTTAGATTTTGTATTATTTGGATTGGTTTACTTTAGTCTTTATCTTCTTTTAATTCGAAGAATTAAAAGTAATAAATAGAAAATTAAACCGAGATTAAAGTTCATTGAGTTAAGTTAATCTTACATACATTTATGGATGAAATCAGACCTTAGCTTCTTCAATTTTCTTTGCTATTCATTTGCTGTTTCATATTACATAACATTTCAAATTATCAAATTTTTATAATATAAATATTTTAAATTTAATAAATATAAAAATATTGATACAATAAAAGTTAACATTTTAAATAATTTAAGGAGCTCATTATATTAGGTGTTGGAATTATATATATATATATATATATCAATAATATAATCACTTTCAATCTCATCAATCTTTTTGTGACACTGCAAGGATATTTTATATATAATACATTTTCAAAATGATAAAATTATAAAAAAATTACAGATTATTCTAAATCATATTTAAAAATAATACGACAAATTTGGTGACGGTACTATCTTATAAGTTATTTTAATAAATGATAGTATTTTTTAAATATGTGCTCTAATAAAAATATATGGAAATGTATTATACAATAAATTATAAAAACTTCAATTTTTAAATATAAGTATAATGCACTATTTACGTAAAGTATATTACATTGCAATGCATGAATTAGTTCTCCAGTAAATAAACAATTTATTTGTTCTATATTTTTGTAACTAATCAGTGAATCGCAATGAAACTTTGCACAAATTATTTTTAATATTTAAAATACTTATAAAAGAAAAATGTAAAATTTTTTATCCATTTTATTTATTTTTTTAAATTTTCATTTTTACAAATAAAATAATTAAACTACAAAAATGTGTTATTAAACAAAATAATAATCTTATTCACAACTTTCATACATGTATAATTTATTTGAAGTGTACAGGACATTTAATAGTTAAATATATTTTTATAGATATCTATCTCTGACTATTATTTATTAAAATAACTTATTATTTATTAAAATAACTATAAGGAAGTAAACCGTCACCAAATTTGTCATATTATTTTTAAATGTGATTTAGAATAATCTGTAATTTTTCATAATTTTATTTTTTAAATTAAGAGTGCTTGGTTCTTGTAATAACTTACTTTAATTAATATTATACATTTTACGAATATTGAATATATAATACCACAAACGACAAGTAAAGTTATAAACCAATAAAATTATAGCGGAGAGAAAAAATTTGAACGTTAATTCTATGACATAAGAGCAAATTTAATTTGCAAATATAGGGATCGCAAATTATTTGCAGATGTAACGAATATTTATTCTCTTTTGTACTCGCTACAAAAATTATTTCCAACAAATGTAAAATATTTATTAAATAAAACAAAAATAAGAAAGAGCATGCAGTCGCATACCTAAATTATTTGCACAAGTATATATTTAAAATAAATTAAATATGTAAATGTTTCGGTTAAGTGGTGACTATCATTAGTACAATCAAGAGAATGCAAATGTTAAAAAATAATAAATTAGCACATTAAGATGTCGCAGTACAAAATTCCAAAAATTAATCTTGTCTTCATAATCTCTTTTATAGAGAAATTAAGAATTTATTCTTGATAACTTGTATGTTAAAATACGGGATTATCAGATTCTAATAAAACAAATATCAATAAGTAATAATATCATTTAATATCATTCAATTAAAAAATTAAGTGTACTTAATTATAAAAACTTATCCGTGTTTTCATAACTATCAATATAATACAATAATGCGATGCTATCTTGTTAGAAAAATATTAGTGTAAATGGAAAAATATTATATACGATGGTTATATATGCGAATAACAACTTGCGTATGTGGCTGTATACTCTTTCTTATTTTTGTTTTATATCATCAAGCCATCTTAACTGCAAGCTGAGCAGTCTTAACTGACATACACATTTCATGATATTAAGACTCCTAATGTTAAGAAAGTTATAGGGAGAAAAGGAAGGTTTTTATTAAAGATACATACAGTATGTTCATGAATGATAATAAATTTTGTCTTTTATTACAGCCGATTCTGCAGCCGATTTATCATATGAATATCAACATTTGTTGCAAAAGATAAGGGAAACTTCAGAAAACCTTCCATCATTGGATCAAACTGCTTATTTTATTGTACTTTAACTTTGTTTTTACTGTACGCATGCGCACAAAGTTTCCTAGAGTAGAGTGAATTCTTGTCACCTCTCATCGCACTAGCGGTTATAAAAAAGGAAAATACAAGAAGAGCTCAGTCAATCACTTAATCGTTTAGTCAATCGGATAACGCATTATTACATAAACGTTTATTGATTTATTAATATTTAAAAAAAACACAAAAGAATCAGTTTGTTCCTAAAGTCATTGTGGAATTAAAAGAATCCCTGTGACGGCATCTTCAATTAATGTTAGCATAATATATTTTATTTTATTATTTTTATTGGGACACGAAAATTGCATAATCGAATAAAATGTCCCACGAAAATTTTCAAAAATGGCTCGACGAAGTGATGTCGAAGATCATCAAGAATTTTGAGTTGGACGTTGACAGTACTCGGTACAAGTTATTAGAATCTATCAGCATTTTTATTACATCCATCGTGTATCGTATACATTTGCAATTTGAAAATAAGACAAATAAACAGAATGAGGAATTGTTTATAATACTAAAAAGATTCAAGCCGAATCTTTTCCAGATATATCGTACTGATCTTCAATTTCATAATGAGATCTTGTTTTATCAAAAGTACACCCGACCGGATGAAATCTATGCTAAATGCTTCTATGTCGAAGAACGGCCACCTCTCGATTATGTAATTGCTTTAGAAAATGTTAACACACGAGGATATTACGCTTGTTCATGTGTACACAATCCTCCAGTGGAATACACATTAGCAGCAATGCGCGAGTTAGGACGATTTCATGGCAAAGGATATGTCATGAAACAGATGCAGCCGGAAAAGTTCTTCGACATCGTGGAACAAATTCAAGAAATTAGATACACAAATAAATTTACAGATAATATCTTCAAATTTTGTTCCAACATTAATACATTACGAGCGATCGAATATCTTCGCAGTCAGAACTATGATGCAATTTTCTGTGATAAGATGGAAGCTTATCTGTCGAATGCATTTGACAAAGTGATGATAAAGACGATACAACCGCTTGAACCTTTGGCCACGTTGTGTCATGGTGATTTTACATTAAGCAATATGCTCTTCAAGACAGAAGACAATGGACAACTTCACTCAATGCTAATTGATTTCGCGCTTATTAAATACTCGATGCCCGCCATCGATCTTTCTACATATCTTTACATATGTTGTACAAATGAAATGAGGAAAAACAAATTTTCCGAGTTCATGCAAGCCTACCACGACGCACTAAAGGATTATCTATTGGACGCTGGTATTCAAGACATTGAGAAATACTCGTATGACGCTTTGTTGGACGATTTTAGGAGGGGTGCTCTCTTCGGTTTCGTTATTATGTGCAGCTTTATACCGATATTACTAGGGCATCTCAATTCAGAATTAATGATACAAGAGATAATAAATTTGGGTCCTTTGGAAAGTGTAAAAAAACAGAAATACATGGGCGGAGACGAAGTATCCAAAATGCTAGCTGAAGCGTTACTGCATCTGAAAGATCTTGGCTGCCTGGAACATGTTTTGTAGTTTGCGCGAGATAATTCGGACGCACGAAATGTAGGATGTGTTCCATTTGTAGAAATTATTTCATTCTTGTTGTTTATCAAATGTTAAACAAGGACAAAATGATGTTTATAAGCGCTGTGAAACATCAAATGGAACGCACCCATAATCTATATCGATTAACAGCGCATTAACCTATGGGCTTTTTTGGGGTTTGAGCCCTAGGGTACCGAAATGTTAGGGGCGCCACAATTTAAAAAATAAATGTAAACCGAAGATTAAGCAACATTATTTTATATATGTAACACAACGTTATTTTCATGTCAGCAATCATATAAAACTAAATGTATTAAAAAAGTAAAACTTAGTTCAAGTGATTTTCAATAGTCTTCCTATCACGTCCACATTGTTGAACTCAGGTTATTTCAAAAAGATGCCAAGAATAGAAACATCGAAGTAATCATTTTCTGTATCAATACTGTTTCTTTTTTCCAAATTAATTGAAAAAAATTAGAATTGAATGAGACATATGTAAGATTTCCAGATATATCGAAGCTCCATTTATAATTGTATACTGTAAAATACAATTCGTTTCACACTTTTATTACATCATAGCTCAGAAAATGTCCATTATTGACGTCCATGACATATATTTTTTTGTTTATTAGATTAATCATCATTTTATGTAAAAATTAACTTAATTTACTGATACCCTACAATTTACCATACATTTAGTGCGGAGTTCTTTAAAATGAATCGTGAAAGTAAAAACAATACGTAGCATTAATTCATGTATACCTTAGAATTTAATACTTTAAAACTTAAATACTGAAAATGAGCTTACATAATTAATAAACATTATCTTATGAATATTTATATGTATGCTGTAATAATGTTATTATATTAATTTACTTGAACCAGAATTTATATCCTTTATGTGTTATATCTTGTTAACATTCGTTTGAAATTTGTTTGAGAACATTCAATTTTTATCTTTTATCAAAAATCCAGCGTCTATCTTTTGCAAAATATATGTGTATATAAAACCATCAAGGGTAGTAACTAGTAAAAAAAATTTTAAAAAGTTAGATATTAAAGTTAAAAAATTAATAATTTGTAACTTAATGATTTCTATAAATAGAATTAACTTTCAATTTTTCTTAGTTATTTTTAACACTAATTGTAAACATATTAAATTTTTAACTTAACTTTTTTCTTAAGTTAAAAAAACTTTTTGTTTCTCTTTAAAAGCGCTAATATTCTCTACTTCTATAAAATTTGAGCATTAAGCAATGAATAAACATTAGAAAATAAATATTAGACAAATATAAATGGATAGAAAGTAAACATGAACATTAGACTTCGAATGAACTTCAGATAAGATATGATAAGATAAAATTAACAATTTTTATGTCTGATTATCAGCAACTTTGTGTTTTTGAATAGAAAAAACAAAGATTTTACTAATGAATGTGTTAATTTAAAAGGAAAATTAAGTGTCATAAATTTTGAAACGCTATTTTTATTGAAATTGAATAATTATTTGTAACATATATTTCACATTATACATAATAATAATTTTTATATTATTGTTATAAATAATTTTTTAAAAAATATAGGTTTCCATATTGAAAATTATACTTTTTCATTATTTCATACAAATTTTATGTATAAATAAATATTAAACTTATAATATATTCCATATTGCAATTATTTATATTTTCATTTTAACCGTACAAAGAAAAGCTAATTATAAAAATTCAAATAATTATAAACTATTTTAATAAAATTTATGATTATAAAATTAACTTACATTACCTTATGTTAAAAGTTATCAAAATTATCAATTTATAGTTAATTAAAAATTAATTTTAAATTGAAGATAATTTTTGCAACTTTTAACATGATGTAACGTAAGTTAATGTTATAGTTATTAATTTCAATTTTAATATACAGGGTATTCAATTAGTCTGACAGAGTTCGTGGAGTATGTAGAGTGGACTAAACTGAGACAGAAAGTCCTTTGCAATTTTCGCAATAGTTAACAAGATATTAATTTCTAAAAATTGCCGAAAATTGATCTTTAATAATTTTTTACTCAATTACTATCAACTTTACAGAAAACTACAAGAGACAAAAATTGTTTATTTTATTCTCATAGAGCTCTAAAAAATTTTTTTAGAATTTTTTCAGAATTTTTTAATACCGGACTTTTTTTTCATGTTGATAAAAATGAGAAAATGTATTACTAAAAAGTTGATGAAAAATTCTGAAAAAATTTGTAGAGTTCTATGAGAAAAAAATAAACAATTTTCATTTCTTGCAGTTTTTCTGTAAAATTGATAATATTTGAGTAAAAATTATTGACTTTCTGTCTCAGTTTAGTCCGCTCTACATGCCCACGAACTCCGCCAGAACAATTATCGGACACCCTGTATTTACAAACAATATTATGCGGTCACCATTTATAAAAAATTTATTTATTTAAAATAGGCGATAAAATGTAATACATGAGGTTTCTTTGATAACAGAATGGAAATGAACATGTAATATTCTTATTACATGTTCTTCTAGAAAATATTCTCATTTAAATTTGCATTTCCTTCTTTCAAAAAATTAATTTATTTAACATAGATGATAAAATGTAATGTACAAAATAAAGAAAATAAAAGTAACGATTAATATAAGATTTTGGAGAATCGACAGAAGTGCAATTTGAATTTTACATGTATGAATTATTGCGAAAACATCTAGTATCATTAAAGAAAAATTATTTTTATAGTTATAATCCGTAGCATTAAAAAAATTATGGACACACACACATTTTATATATATGTATATGTGTATATGTGTATATATAATGTATATAGAACAGTGCAGTATAATGTACATAGTAGATATATTATACATAGTAGATACATAGTAGATATATTATATATAATATAGGTATCAAACCATTTTGAAAATCAACCGAAATTGTTCTCATACCTCACACTATTATTTTCTTGCTTAAATATAGCGGAAATGCAAATGATGTCAAATGTAAAATTATCTTATCAGGTATGTATAAAACAAAGAGATCATTCTTAAAATAATATTTCTAAATTGCCGCACTGTTACGATAATATTGTATTTCTTCTCATAAACAATGCACATTCACACATGTGTATCTGTGTTTATTTTTACATATCCCAAAGAATATACACATGTGTATAAAAATATGCTTTTAAATATCTATAGCCCCTTTTCTTCGATAAAATTGCAGTCACTATCAAGTGAATTGAATACTACTAAATAAATCATATGAAGTCACATATAAAATCTTTAATAGCGTCTCATTGCTGGTTTCAAATATTCTTCTCGTAAGAAGCGAGAGGTTTGTATTATATATATATATATATATATATATAATATATTATGCGATTTGTAACATTTAATATAACGGGAAATAATTGGAAAAGATAGGAATGTATAATAAATATACTATCTTCCATTGACATAATTTATTTGGGATCTAATAATAATTAAAATAATTACGTGACAGAATATCAATAGCAGTCTACTCATTTCCTAGTAAAGCGACAGCATACACGTTATACGAGTTTATATAAATTAAAATAATTATTCAATTCAATCATTATACAATTTTTTCTGTACTGAAGCGCCATTGCACGTGTATACTCGGATTATGATAAGCCAATGTGACTCTTAATTTCACATGATTTGCTTATGCACCTCAAAAATTTTATTTTTTTACATCATCTAAGTAGACTCATCATATTATACTATTTCGACATATATATACTTTATATATATATATATCTCCATATTTTTTATATGCATATGCATTTGTAAGCGCGTGCAAATATACTATGCACGAGATCTCTCGGTGACTGTTGCTCAGTCCACAGGAACATTAAACTCAAAATACAATAATATTACAATTTATTATTTCAATATATATAATAAGGCTATCTACATAATATATATAACTATCGCAGAATCTATATCTAGTATGAACGTTACGTCCATGTTTCTAATTATTTACAAAGGTACTGCCAGAGGCATTCACTTGTTTCTTCTTTTTCTTTAAGCTTGCAAAAATACAGATTGTCAGTAGCTTTCTTATACCCGTCTGCTCGAAAACACGATAATGAAAAATGAATAGATGCATTCAAAATGGAAAAAAATTGCACTTACATCACAAGCAATTTGTCCAAAACAATAATTTTCGAGCGTACTTTTTTATTTCGAGAAGAACGGTAAAATGCGTGTGCATGTAAAAATATCATTATAAACAGTGCGATTACGAAGACATGTTTTCTTTATAAAACGCTGCCATATACGGTATATATAATCGCAGATCATCAGAATTTATATTCAATATAAAAGTACATATAGCTTTAGAATTTTATATATACAATGAAATATATCTAAATTTTATAAAATTTTAATTTAATGTGTAGGAGCACAGCAAATTTTATTCATTTCAATTTTCGATTTTTTAAAAATATTTTGTTGTTTAGTTTAGCGAAAATGTTTAAAGTAGAACAATATAATTATAGGAGTTTTTAACAATTAAGCAATTGGATTTTAACTATAAATTTAACTATAAACAGATTCTTTGGATCAATGGGATGCATTAAATAGAAATTTTCAATTTTTATGTAAAAAGATTTAATCAAAAATACCTAATATATTTTGCTTCACATGATGTAATTATCATTTTTAAGATTCTTAAGATTTTAAGTAAACATCAAGATAACGATTTTTATATATATGTATTAAGAATACAATGTCCTCAATATTTGTTTATAGAAAGATAGGCACACAAATAATAATATATTTGAGTGGATTATCAAGAGCATTTAGTTTATATTTTTTCTTAATTATATATATTATGTGACTTTTAAAAAAGAAACTTTTTAATTAAAAAAAAATCTTTTAAAAAATTCGTCTTTTTAAAATTTCTCAATATATGCCTCTGTTTAATACAGAAATCTCGGTATAATTTCTAAGTTTTTTCAAGTTACAGGAAGAATTTAATTCTAAATTTTCTACAGTAAAATGATATAATATATCTTTCTGAACTGAGGATAATTATAATAAGTTGCATTTAATAGTAAAAAGATATCTTATTTTGATGTAATTGGGTATGTGCAGAAAAACGTGCGTAATATTTAACATTTTCATGTTAATAGTGAACTTTCTTGATGCTCAAAGATGTACACTATTATTATATTTGTAGTTCATCAATATTTAGGCCGCTTAAAGTTTTTTTCGTACACATTCAGAATATAGTCACACAAGTTAATATTTATTATTAACGAAAGAAGAGTCAAAAATATTCATGCGCAATTCACAGCATGTTTCGAGTTTATGTTAACTCTTAAGTATCATAATATAAATGAATCTCAAATTCGTTTTGAATCTTAGTAGATTATACATTACTTTTCAATATATTTAATATATTTGATGTTGCTTTTCAGATTTTTTAATGCTATCTTTAATTTCGAACAAATGATATAAGAATGCTATTGATAAATATTTAAATGTTAATAATATTTGAAGAATTTGTTATAACATAAATAAAAACAGAAAACATGAAAAACATGAAAACTATGTACAATATTTGTTATAAATTTTTATTATAATACTTAAGAGTTACTTATTTCTTCACCAGATAATAAATTCTTCTTAACTACGCGCTTTTGTATATAATAAAATCATATCACAAGTTTCGAATCATTTATCTTTGATCTAGGTGCATAATTAACATGACAAAATATTACAGTAAATATCACATGGAGCGATGATATTTCAATTAAATAACAGTAGCGACTTTACTAAAGATAAAAGTCCATTCCTTAATCTTACAAATAGAATTATAATTTTGGGCAATACACGTTTTCGTTCATAAAATAATAATTTATATACTTTCATATATAAGGGTAGCAAGCTCAAGCATATGACTGATCCAACGATATAGCTATTTTATTTCCTTTCTCGACCCAATTTCTAAGACGTCCTCTAAGTTCTTCAAGACTTTTCGATTTTGCCTTATTTATCCTCTTGTATTTCACGTCTTTTGGCTTCGTCACGGATCTATGATTGCTCATTACCCTATTGTATGTCACCTGAAAAAATAAATAGATTTCTTATGGAAAGATCAATTTATACGTAGCGTGGAGTTTTAAAGTTAAACATGAGGAAAATCTAAATGAAGAATATATCTTAAATTAGAATGTAATTTGCATTACGTTTTAAGTTTATGTAAATCTTGTATCATTTTTTTTTCATTAGGATATTTCAATCCGAATATTTCACAAATATTTTTTCTAATAAATCGAATTCTCTTATATGCCGATAATATTTCAAATAGTTTCTGTTACCTGCGCTTGTTGGCTTTCGTCTCTAGGTCTTTCGCTGGGTGGAGAATCTGTGTCTTGAGCCAACCTTTCGAAACTGCCGTAGAGATCCTGAAGCCTGCCCTTTCCGTTGCCTAAGTTTTTCATTCTCCTGTCTTCGTATTCCGAATTCTCTGTCGATTCCGACGGATCCTGATTATTTTCGCTGTCACCGTCTTCCTCCACAGAATACACGGTTTCCAGAATCTCCGGTCTTCTGAGAAAACCGTTGCAACGTCGCATCGATGAATATTTGTTCGACGGTTCCACCGCATCGGACACGGAACGGATCACAGTTACATCAGTAATGTTAGAACGAAATCTGTGGATTACAATTAGAATATATATAAAATTACAGATGATCTATAATTTGTGAAAGAATTTGTGAGAGAATTCTATTTATAGAGTTTCATGTATTTTCTCATGTGTACATATCTGTTAATATTTTGATTTGTATATTAGATATAAACTGCGATTTTTCAAGTAATTTTCGTTAAAAATAAGTTTTTACGTATAAGATAACAAATAGTTATAGTTTCGCATTTTATCATAAATTATAAATTAAAGTGAGCTTAAGATACATTACATACTTTAAGTAACTTTATCATAGAAATTTTGAACGTATTTCAATATAATTATTATACACCGACATAAATAAATATTTTTTAAACTATTTATCATTATTCTTAATGTCAATCCAACGCAGTCTGTGCTGGTCGCAATCACATTGAAAACGATATTTTTCCAAAAAAATTCAACTTATGAAATAAGAATGCTTTCAACATGTTTAAATCTTGTTTCTATTTTTGCTTTTGCATATTGAAAAAAATAATGTATTAACAGCATTATTTTATTATAATTGAAAATAATTTTGTTAATTCAATGACATTGTTAATGAGACAAATATGTTATGCTCTTGTTTTAATAAAATTTTGTTTCATTAGTATTCAAATAACAAAAAATACAGGATTCTTAATTTTTTAAAATAATACAAAGATATGAAGGGCACATAAGAGTCAAATGAACAATTAAGAGCCTAGAAAAACAAAATATAAAATATATTCAATTGTATAAATTCAAAAATTACAGAAAAACATATTACATGTTTCAGTTTCTCCATTAAGTCATCTGCAGATAATTAATACAAAAACGTAGTCACGATATTACTTGAGTACAACTATAGTGATATAGAAAGAAAATACTGTATTAACATAAATAGCAGCGAACCGATGGATGTCTCGCAAAGAATCGGAGAAAATTGCTTGCAAACGGTTTGTAGATTAAATGTTTGTAATCTCTCGGTATTCTAGAGAAAGAAAATTGTGTTAAAAAATATATAGTTGTATTTAAAGCAAGCAATAACAACCGCTAAGGGAAACACTCACCCATATGTTTTGACGAGTTATTATCATGCAGAATGAAATTTGCTATTGGGTGAGCATTTCGTTTAGAGGATGTTGCTATTTGCTGTAAATACATACATTATATATTTTTTAACACAATTTCCTTTAATACATATTTTTTGTAATATATTTTTCTATAATTTTTGAATTTATACAACTGAATATATTTTATAATTTGTCTTTCTACACTCTTAATTGTTCATTTGGCTCTTATGTGTCCTTCGTATCTTTGTATTTCATTAACACTGTTATTATAAATCAATAAGATTATTTTCTTTTTTTTCTCCTTCTTCTTCTTACGTTAGGACCTCTAACTTGTGTTACAACTCTCTCATATGCTTGTGGTGCGCACGTTGATTATTCAATCGCTACATATGAGACCTACGGTTTTAATGCCGATTCCAAATGGCAGATTTTTCAAGAGGTGTTTCTGTGGGTAAGGATACTCTCGAGAGGTTGCCTTGTCCGAGAGGAGATATGAAAATATTTTGGTTCCTATGGGGATCGAACCTAATGGTTCTATTGGGACCTCTGGCATGATCCATGCCACGTTCGCGATGAAGATTATTTTCAATTAAAATAATGCTGTTGATACAACATAATTTTTTTCCAGTACACTTTTTATTCTTATATTCTTTTCATGTCCTTATATTCTATTATTGCATAGACGCAGTAAAAGCTATCTTAATTTCATAGACGATAGCTGATGTGTATGTAAACCTATTTAAAAAATATTCACCTTGGTGGGGCAGGATCGTCCGCGGTTTCCTCGAGCACCACGGCGCTGTCGCTATCCCCGAGACTGTCTAATCTGTCCAGGGCATCGCAAGGTGGCGAGTCCCGAGTGCTCGTGTTCCTCTCCGCCAATCTGTTCTGCAATTGCCGGATCACCCTTTGTTGTCGTAAAATAATGGATTCTCGCTGACTCAGACTGGCTTCGATTTCCTTCTGCTTCCTGCAGAGCCTTGACTCAAACAGCAGAAGTTGCGACGACAACGTCCGCAGCTGCTCAGCTTTTTCCCGCGTCAATCGAGCCACCAGGTCCTCCTGCAAAACGTCACGATTACAAAATTGAACGAGTCGGTAGCGTTAATTTCCCATTAATTCGCGGGTACAATAAACTGCGGGCTCTTCACTCGATAATTCATGTATGGTAATTAATAACGGCGCGAATTCGTGGCTGCGAAACTACAACCGGCGTTTCGCCATTTACTTTCAATATTAAGTAATTAATTAGCAAACGATCTCTCATTGCCATTATTATTATTTAATATTTGTTTAGCGCTGTTAATTGATTTCCCCGGTTTTCTCATCTCGTTTACCGGTAAATACTGCTCGAATGGATATCGCTCATTAGGACGATATAGTGTTGAATCGTATTCTTTTTTCCTTTTTTTTTTTATCAAATACCGCGCACCGGTTCATGCGTATTTGTGCAAACATCTCTCGAGTCCACTTGCTTTACGCGAAGCACGTTATCAGTATGCGTGAACGGCAGATACATGCCATTCCGCTGCACGCATTTTCTCTGTACGCGTCGATACGTGCGTGAAGCTGCATGTTTGCACAACGATGTACGGTATACCTACACGTCGTACATATCCGGCCGATCGCTTTGCATTGCTCGCATCTCCTTCCTTTCGTCCTCCCGCACGCGTGGAGGATGAGTCCATTACTCTCGCTATTGTGTGCAATATAAACAGTACCGTAAGACGACCAGGTGCTATTGCCGGTGCGTGTCACGCACTTTGGAGACGGACGCGGAAAATAATTGACGGAAAATAATTGACATTTGGTCAATGGACATTTGGCATCATGTGAACGACCAATTAATAGGCAGATTCTGCATTCAGGAAAGGGAAGTAAGAAGACATTTTTTTAATTGTTAGGTATCAAAGAAGAACAATGGTAATCCAATCTCTGGAATTAAATAATATTTTGTTATTTTTTATTTCTATGTGTGTCAAAATGTAAATTAATCCATTTCTGTGGTTTCAATTTTAAAGTAATAATCGTCCGTATTAATGTAGTTTAAATTAAAGACAAATAAAATTTAAATTATTGTTTTATTTATATAGAACAACTTTTTATTTTATAATGGAAAATATTATTAAATTCACGTAGAGTATCATTATTCATATTTTCATTAAAAAATAAAGGCCGCAACACAGATGACTTTTGCATAACGCATAAGAGAATTTGAGAGAAGATCAATCAGAATCCTTCATTTTCACATATTATGCAAAAATCTGTGTTACGGTCTTAAAAATTTAAATTTTTCGTAATTATGAAGAGAAAGGAAATAAGAATATTGTTTTACATGTGGCAATAAATATATCAAGTTGACAATATGTACATTAAATATGAAAAATCTTAGTCATCAGAGAGGCTCATACTTGTCTTTTTCTTTTTTCTGCTTTAGAATACACATTTCTCTACACATTTTTACTGATTATCACATTAAAGAAAAATATATTTTTACAAAAAGAAATAGAAAACGTACAAAAATTAAATAAATGATTATCAAAAAAGGAAAGTTCTATTCGAAAGCTTTCTTTTAAACCCGAATTCCATAACATATCTGCGCAATATGCATAGGCATATCACGAAAAATTGTCTTTTATTACCAAAATGAACTCATCAAGTATTAACATTTCTCCATTTGAATTCGGTAAAAATATATGGAAAAGTTGTTATTTGATAATCGGCCGTCCCGCTGGTATTTTTCCTGGCGCCGGCTAAGAGAGAAAGAAGATCATTTTGTAGCAATTATTCCTTCGCAGATTGCCAGCAAATTTAGTGGGAGTCTTTTTTTTTCTCGCGGGGTCTACCCTCGCAAACCGAGAATTACCTCTAGTCACGCAAAGTCAGACGCGAAATCGTAGGATGTCACGAGACGCTCCAGGCTTATCCCAGAAATGCTCGGAAATCTCTCTTTACAGCAATGACTCGTGACGGCAGCATATCGTTTCGCTTACCTGCTGAAATTTATCTTTCCCATTGGCATCATTATAGGTCTAAGATGCAGACCTGTCCAATTTGAATTCCAGTGCCAAAACGCAGAACAAAATCGATGCAAAAAATTCAATGTGAGTAAGATTTCATGGACTGTAAAGTGTTGATAAGCATCGTTCAAACGTATATCAACACTTTAGTTCCGAAATCTTATCCATATTGATTTTTTTGCGTCAATAGCTTTGTATTTTAGCTTTGGAGCTCAAATTCGACATGAATTAGATAGAATGTTCAAGATCAAAATTTTTTATTTCATGAAAAATTATAATTCAGATTTTTCATCAAAATCTCTACGAAAATGCTTAAAAACAAAGGATATTTCTAGCAAAAGTTAAACTTCAATTAAACTTTTGATTAACAAATTATCTGATGAAACTTGTTTTTTTTTTTCAATCAATTTGAGCCTTAATTTTGATTTAATAGATATTTTCCAAAGTATGTCTGTGTAAGCAACGTTCGTCTTAAATATTCATTCGTTCGCTTCGTAAAGCGACAAAAATATGTACTTCTTCGCGTCTAAATGGATCCATCTAATATTTCACTGTCTGTAACATTAGTCCGTGGGCTGAGCGTGTTTTATGATTTTCAGAGGTAATAGCTTTGATCGATCGTCTTGCGTTCCTCCCGACTGATTTCCTCGTCGAAGACTGCAAGTGGGATTACCTTTGCATGTAGAAATCCTTCCTGGTAATTGAAACTTACCTGCAATTTAAGGGTCCTTCGCCAAGCGAGCATTTGGTGGGCTTGTGCCCGCTGTCTCGCTCTGAGTGCCGCTATGACCGACTTGGCTTCCTCCAATGACGTCACTTCCACCTCGTTACTGTCCTTCATCGACTCGCTCGATAAGTCACTGACTCGGCGGCCCTCGTCGATAGTAGCCAATATGCAGCTGTCCATCGACGTCTCGTCGAAGCTGCAAACAGAAAGTGATGCGATGAGCGATTTGTCATTCTACTTATCTAACGATCTTCTTAACAAGTTATTTTAGGGTATTAAAACGCCCTCTATCCAAGTAAATTACTGCTCAAGTGATCCCTTTTAATACAAATGACAATAGAGGTATTGTAGAGAAATACGATTACATTAAAATAATTCGCCTTATTGTCCACCTATTAAAATTATTGTCTTTATACTAGGTGGGGTGAAAAGTAACCTCCTTGGGAATGAAAAAAATTTTTTTCTTATGCAGAATCTCGCCCAAAATATGGCGTGTTCGCTCAGTACTAATCTTTGTAGCATCTGCTAGCTCGCGCACCTTCACTTTCCGGTCAGCCAACACCATTTCATGTATTTTTTTGACATTTTCCTCGGTAACCGCATCGGAGGGCCTGCCGCTGCGGACTTCATCGGTAGTGGAGTTGCGGCCACCACGAAACTCTCGAAACCAATATTTAACGGTGTAATCTGACGGAGTATTAGCCACATAATATTTATCCAACTTTTCTTTTGTTTCCTTCGCCGTTTTGCCTCTCAAAAAATAATGTTTTATGAGAGAACGAAAATCGTTTTCGCAAACACGTCAACAACAATCAGCTCTCAAAACAAAACTAAGGGCAGTATCGCACTGCCACTTGGCATGTCTGCCTAAATATGAACGGACTACAAGGCACCATAAACTTTTTTGCAGTAGTGGCGCATTCTGGCGGTCAAGGAGGTTACTTTTCACCCCATCTAGTACTTGAATCATTTATTCTTTTTAGTACATCTATTAACTTTTATTTTTAACTTACAATTTCTACCATATTCTTTATTTTTCTAATCCCACTTTAGCGTTATAAAAATTAAATTATACAATAATTTAAAAACACTATTATTAAGAATGTTACTTTTAGATGCGTTAATTCTAAAGACACTGTACCATTAAAATTAAATCTAAATTAATTAGAATCTAATTGAAATGTAATCAAAGCAGGAACAGCTCGCGTTCGGATAAGTGTATAATAATATTGGAAATTTTTGCGAATGATTGACAGGTCGGAAATCGGTATGTTTCTGAACAATTACTTATATTTCGACAAGATATCGCAAAAAGAAAAGCTCGGAAAGCTCGTTTTCTCCGAAAAGAAAAAGCAACTTTCGCGTTAAAAAAAACGAACCCACGTGATTTAAGATTTGCTTGGATATCTTTCGCATTTGCATGCCGTTATCCTTCATTTTCTCATCGGTATAGTGATGAATCATCCGACTATACAACTATATGAAACTCGACGCGAATCCCTGGCGCACGATAAGCATGCACGCGGTAACTGATCCTAATATCGAGAAACGCGATCGGCAAATAAATCAGTGATCATGGAAATGATACAGCTCCAGTTTAATAAAGCTTGACGATCAAACTAGTACGAAAGCGATACGCGATAAATGATATACATATGCTCAGTGTTATTATTTCTTCGTAAACATACAATAAAATATAATGTAAAAACGATGCCTTTGTCGCAAGTCGACGTCTTTGTTGCTCTGTCGAATTTACAAGGAATTTTCGATAAACTTAATAATTTCATACATTCATCATTTTTTTATATATATTTTTAATTTTCCTTAGATTACTCTGTAATCTTTACATACTGTCAAATTTATTCTTTATTTATTTTTACAGTCAGTAAAGAAATTAGATATTTTCGAATCCAAAGCGAGACAATTTTCTGTTGAAAGAATGTATGGATGTAAAGACAAATACAATAATAGCAATTTATTTTTAAGAAATAATACAATTATATATATATATATATATTTTTTTATATTTGACGGAACAGCAAAATAATCATCTCAAAAGCGAGACGTCTGGTCTTATTACATATACGTTACAGCTATTACGCGAGGCTGATATACGTCCGTAGAATAGAACGTCTCTAAAAATCGAAGTTGCACTTGCATGGAAACTTTAGCTTTGCCTTTGGCTCTCACGAGAGAACGCTATAAAAACAGTTGGTACCATACGAGCCCTGCGCAATATCGATCTCTATCTAGAAATTTACATCGCAACGTACATCAAACGCTGTATATACCTATCGCAATTCTGTATTCAAGATCGACCGAATGCACACGGCTAGTATTACGTTCGCCGAGAACGTAAGCTTGTTCTCGATTAAAAGTAACTCGGCTTTAAGGAAGAATACAAGATTTGTATAATTGAATTGTAGACAAAATTTGAAAAATTTATTTTTTTAAGGAAAGGAATAAATTGATACAGTTTTCCGTTCAATCTTTTCCTAAAAATGAATTTAACATAAAACTTATTAAAAATGTAGGAATTTTCTGTGTTATTGAGGATGGAAACATTTCAAGTGTCTTATAGTTATTATGGTTCTGTGAATTTCTAAGGAAATAATCTATTATTTTCTCTGATTTAGTTTTCTTCAAAATAATTAAAGATTGAATCCAAAATCGATAAAAAATGTTGTGATAACGTAAAATATAAACAAACAGATAAAAAATAAACATAAAACTCTAATTTCTACATAAAAATTGACGCTATTTATATTGTTACCATTTTATAATAATTTTTCTAATTTTTCTAATTTTATAATAATTTGTCTAATTTAATTTTGTACACTTTCAATTAATCTTTTACATCTTAAATTATAGTAATAACAGTCTAAATGAGAATTGTGTCTATTTATTCCTTGCATTGAAATAAATTCGCAAATTTCAACTTCAATTTAACTATACAAATCTTCCAGTTCTGAAACACGCATAGCAATATCGACAGAGTGTCTACAGATTATCTTCCCATCGATGATTAACGGATTCCTTTTGGGACGCGTGTTCGTTCGAGAACCTTTGGAAAGCGCCTGGCGAAAAATTCTGCATTGACTACTGAGAGAGAATACATAAACGGAAATGATTCCTTATTGTAAGAATTGGAAACTCTTGTTACAATACATACAACTTTCGGAAGTAAAATCAAAATGCATAATTTTATAACGAAACTTTTACAACTATTCCTTTCAATTGTTTCTTTTACGACTTTTTAATCTAATTTAATATAATTTCAGTAAGAAAAAAAAATGTGAATTTTAATGGAGATTCTTGCAACTGAAACAGCTTTTCATAAAGTTAATTTGAAATTTTATTCTTTCATGAGTACAGATGTAAATTTCACGAATAGTTCCGGAGGAAAATTAAGATTTTTCTTACAATTTACAATTTACTTGAAAAATCTAAATGTATAATATTACAAAGCGCTTTCAATGTGAAACTTCTGTCTCAAACGTTCATTTATAGTTTCGCCCTTAGTTTCAACCTCTAAGACTGTACTATATAGTAAGCGAAGAAGAAAGTGCACGTCTCTCGTCGCAAGCTACTTCACGATATACACTTGGAGCTCCATGAACTTCAAGAGAGACAGTTGCGAAAGTTTCCTTGTTAAAGTCATTCCCGGTCGTTACGCATTCATTCTAATCGAACAGAGAGAAATCGAGGAAGACAGGGGAACTATTAACGCACATAATCTACATAACGAGCGGAGAGAGAGGCTAAATCATTTATATAAATTTATATGAGATTTACTTAACATCGATGGATTTAATTATCGATTATTACTTCTAATTAAAAAATATTGGGATTGTTGTTGCAAAATTTATTTACGATTGTTATTTATGGTTGACTATTATACGGTTAGTTGAGAATTTATAACGCACAGAAGTTATAATGTTTGAAAAGTTACGAACATATTTGGAAAGCATTTTTCCGGTTCGCTTTCTCTCTCTCTCTCTCTCTCTCTCTCTCTCTCTCTCTCTCTCTCTCTCTGACCTCTGACTAATTAAGTCCGGATAAATTATGCATGAATCGTCCAGCTGAGTCATGCCGCGTCGTGAATTTGACGTTTTCCCTCTCGGAGGGCATCGATCGCAGGGTAACCTGCGTGATGAGAGAGCCAGGGATCGAAAACTCCCGCAGTGCGTACGATAGGAAAGGCACGCGTTTCCGCCAGGTAACCTCGAGAGTGAAATACACCGCTGCGATATAAATGCGTTTCCGTCACGAGTAAAAATACACTGAAATAATAAAATAGCAAAACGCAATATCCGCATGAGGCAACCTAAAGGATGACCGAGGGTGCTGCGAGATATTGCGATCGACACGAGCTACGAATGTTATCACGGTTATACGGTTATACTCCGAGATATATTACGAGAAATTAATACGTAAAATTTAATTATTATTTATTATAAATTATTACTTATTATCATTTATTACTCGTATTCTCGCGTAGTCGGACGCTCGTTATTAAAATATATATTTGAATTGATTGCCGATTATTATTTCTGATTTAAAAATATTGGGATTGTTGTTGCAAAATTTATTGATGTCAAATTTATTTATTGACGGCTGTTATTTATTATGGTTGATTATTACAATTGGTTGAGAATTTATAATATAATGCACAGAAATGATAATGTTTAAAAGCGAATATTTTATTTTGTACTTTACATTTTTTGTTATTTAATGATTTTAGACTGTCTCTAGGTTATTCAGTTCTCAACGTACGTGATAATTAGCGATTCCATGATAATTAGCTTTACAGAGAACTATTAACTCATTGTAGTCTTCATTGTAATAGACATTAGAATAATTAGAGACAAATTGTGAGAAAATTTAATCTAAATAGCAATTTGCTTTTTAGAAAAACTTGTTAAAAAATATCTTAATTATTTTTTTCCCTGTTAGTGACATTTTATTTCTTCTATTTTATTATTATACTTGTTATTACAGTAATGAGAAATCTCTCATCTCGGTCTCTTAATTAAACTCATAATTAAAGAATTACCAGAAAAGCAAGCCTCATCAGTCTCAAACATTGTAATGTCTCCGGATAATGAACGACAAAAGATAGAATCAAATCATGTTTTTCCTTTATAAGAGAAATGCTATAAATTCAACGCTTTTTCCAAAAGCAAGTATTAACCG